CAGAGCTGGGAGAGAACTTAGAACACAGGGTGTCAGAGCTGGGAGGGCCCTTAGAACACAGAACATCAGCTGTATATGTTGAAAACAACCTCACACTCAAGAAGACTCAGTTCTTCTCCTGACTTGGCTGCTGGATTCAGTAGAAGACTTTGCTCATTGATTCATTTCCCAGAACCTCATTTTCCCCCTTTCTTAAAATGAGGGCATTGTCTCGGGTCCTCGATATCCCTCCTAGCTCTGATGTCCTGAGTCTAAACTACTTTGTGCAGGCCCCCTGCAGTGCCTAGGGTGTGCAGACAGGCAGGCAGGTACCCCCGACAGCTGGCTCTCTGGTTTTTCTTCCAGACAGAGATCGCCAAACGGCTGAACGTGATCTGTGCTCAGCTCATCCCCTTCCTCTCCCAGGAGGTAGGTTGCTCAGAGGGTAGAGGCTGGGTGGGACTCGTGGCCAGCCCTGGAGTATAGAGAGGGATCTTCTGACCTGGTCCTCCACCCCCATGACAACCCAGTTTCCCTCTTTCCCTAGCACCAGCAGCAGGTGGTCCAGGCAGTGGAGAGAGCCAAGCAGGTGACCATGGCGGAGCTGAACGCTGCCATTGGGGTAGGCAGATCCTTGATGGTGGGGAGGGATGAGGACTGCTAGAAGGCCAGAACCCTGAAGAGAGGGAACTGGGAGCAAATCCCAGTGTAGCCACATGTTTCCTAACTAGCCTTGTAACCTTGAACCAGCCCCTAACATCTCAAGGCCTCAGTGTCCATGTATAAAATGAAGGTGTTAAATGAGAGTAATTTCCAGTCTTTGTTCCTGTGAAAGCCTTTCCTCCCCTGGGCTCTCTGCACCATCAACATCTCCTACTATCAATCCTTGTTTGCATCTCTCGTCCCACCCCACCTCTCTCTGCCCCGTCTGCCTCTGCCCTGTCTCTGTCTCCATCTCTCCCCATCCCTGTCTCATTCCCGTCTGTCTCTATCTCTCCTTCTGTCTCTCTCCCAACTTTTTCTTGTCTTTCTCTTGTCTCTCTCTGTCCTGTCTCTGTCCTGTTTGCCTCTCTCACGTGTCTCTCTGTCCTGTCTGTCTGTCTCTGTCTTGTCTCTGTCTCTCCCCTGTCTGCCTCTATCACATGTCTGTCTCTCTGCCCTGTCTCTCTCTTTCTCTCGGTTTGTCTCTCCCCATGAACTCCCTACCCCTTTCTTCCCCAGCACCAGCTGCAGGCCCAGCACCTGCCCCACTCTGCACCGCCCATCCCGCTGACCCCACATCCCTCAGGCTTGGCCAGCCTGGGCAGTGCCTCAGGGCTCCTGGCATTAACGGGAGCACTGGCAGCTCCAGCCCAGGCTGGCCCCAAAGATGATCGAGGCTTGCAGGAGCTGGAACACCGAGGTAGGTCGTGGCACGGGGGGGGGGGGGGGGGAGAGGGGGAGGTGAATGCTCTGGCTCCCCACCTCACTGTGCCCTTTCTTCTCCCCTTTGGTCTGATTGCCTGCTTACCCCTCACTTGTGCTGCCCTGGCAACAGACAGAGACCCAGGCCCGGTACGTGTTTGATGTTCATTAACTCTTGGGTGGGGGTCTGTAAGCAAGAAGAGGGATAGTGCACTATAGATGGCTGGCCAGAAGAACCTGGGTTCAAATCCCACCTCAGACACTTTGTAATTGTGTGACTCTGGACATGTCACTGCCTCAGTTTCCTCCTTTTGACTGCCTGCCTCACGGGTCCATGGCCCAGTCTGTACCCATCCTTGCTAAGAGGAGCATCTGTCTAATGCTGGGTCTGGTGATAAACACCCTGGGTTCCTCTGTCTGTCTCTTCAGAGCTCCCTGGCCCTCCCGAGTGCGGAACGAGTCCGGACCATTTCTGAGTACCTGAGCAGCAGCAAGAAGAGGCGGGCAGAGGAAAAGGATTTTCTTACTGACTACGTAAGGGGGTCCGGGCCAGGGAGGGAGGTCCGAGGGAGGCTCGGGCGGCCTGACACCCCCACCCCTCCTGTCTTCTAGGGCAGCGATGCTGACAAGAGTGAGGACAACCTGGTGGTGGATGAGGTCAGTGGGCTCCAGGCCCTCCTTCCCCCTCCTCCTCAGAGCTGCCCAAGCACCCCCAGGACCCCACTGTGTACATTGGAGATGGGAATGGAGACAAAGAAAACTTGGATGGGTGAAGAGGGAAACAGGCTGGGGCCTTCAGGCCAGTATCAGCTTCTCCACTGTCTCTTTAGGATCCTCAGTCCCCCCGTAGTGTTCACTCTTACTCATCAAGGGAAAATGGGTTGGACAAGACCCCTTTGCCTCGGAAGGAGGCCATCCCCAGCAGCCCACCCTCCGTGTCCTCGTCCCGGAGTGCCTCACCTGCTCGAAGCAAGGACCTGACCCCGGTATGTGAGTGAGAGGGAAGAGATGGAGAGGCAGGCTTCACACCCACCGGGGGCTGGGGAAGGGGAGCCAGGATCCAGACCAGGCCCAATCCTGGAAGATCTGCCGCTGGCTCAACCTTCCTGGGTCACCAGGGTCCTCCCCGGACCTCAGTTCCCCCACCTATAGAATAAGAGGGCGGCACAGATGGAGGCTGCCCAAACAAATTGGGATTAACAGGTGCGAGTGCCCAGTAAGAAACAAACGTGGGCAGACTGCATCAGTTCACGCAGAACTCGGGGAATGATGGGCGCACTGACTGAAACAAGAGGAAGGCAGGACAAAGGTGTCCATGGGCAGCCAAGTGTCAGAAGAGGCCCCTGAAAAAAGCCCAGGACTTGGGGGCCCCGAGACAGGGACTGGTCCTCAGCAAACCACCGGCTTACCACTCCTGCTGCAGGTGGAGAAGTCGGGGACCCCCGGCTTGAAGTCCAGCACCCCCACGTCCCAGGGAGATGGGCTGGGGCCTGGAGGCAGCGGGAGCAGCAGCAGCAGCAGCAGCAGCAGCAGCAGCAGCATTGGGACGCAGCCATTCCGGCCTGGGCTGGGCAAGGCAACAGTGGACTCTCTGGGTAACCTGCTCTAGAGCTCAGGAGGGTGGGAAGGGAAGGTGATGAAGGGGGCAGTGTTTCAGTTGCAAATGCATGCGTGCACTTATCTGCACTGACTTAACCATTGAACTCTGGGTCCTCTCCCAGCCCTGGGCCTCAGGAGCCCCCTGGCTGTGGCTGGCTCCTACACGGGCCCCTTCGGGATGGGAATGGTGCACTCGGCGGTGAACGGAGACTTGGCCACCACCGGGGCCTATTCCGGGCTCCACCTGGCATCCTCACAGCTCAACGGGGCCGGCAGCATGGGAGGGACGTCGGGCTACGGCCGTCCTGCGCTGGTGAGGAGTCCTGAGCCTTCTGGCCCTGCTCTGGGGGGCGGGAGGGGAGTGGGCTCTCCACCTTTGCCTTTTTGGCTCCTGTGGCCCCACTCTGGCCCATCCCCACCCTGAGGCTTCATTAGACTTTCTGACAGACAGGGGCCGAGTTTGACTCGGGGGAGGAGGACTGGGGGCCCTGCAGGTGTGGAATTCTGCCTGCCACAGCCCTTAGGCCCTCGCTGTGTCTCCAGGTCAGCTATGACCCTCATTCACACATTCGGGTCTCGAGCCTCTCTGCTAACCTGCCCAGCAGCTCCTCAGGGAAACCGTGAGTGTGAAGGGGGGGGGGGGGGGTCAGCGTCAGCTAAGCACATGAGGCCAGAAAGGGCGACTTCAGGAAAGGCCTTCCCACAGCCCCGCCCTCCTTCCTTGCCCTTTGCTGAGGAAGCTGAGGGTCTGGGCTCATCCCCTAGGGGCCTAGCTGTGGGATGCTGTGAGAGAGGTCAGTCCCCAGGCCGCAGGAGGCCAGGCTGGGGGAGGGGTTGGGAGGGGAGGCCTTGGGGGAGGTGCTTTGAACTTGTAGAGGCTGCCATGTGTGCCTCGGCATGTGTGTGTGATAGATTGAAGGACAGTGCTTCCCCTCCTACATACCCACACGGGCACACTCCCTCCCTCCAGGGCTTACTCCTTCCACGTGTCTGCTGATGGGCAGATGCA